CTCGGTCCAAGTCGCAAGCCAGAAACTGCAGAACCTCGTTCGCCTAACTAGACTCGAGATTGAAAAACCATGGCCCTCCCGAGTGGACAACCACAACACCCGAGCCCGGAGATCAATAAACAAGCTCCACCATCACAACCCCGAAGATCCGAGACCGGGACACAAGACCCAGCCCAACTTAACTCCGCCAATGAAACCAACAAGTACAAAAGCAGAGAAATCGGAGAAGGAAGAAAAGCGAAACGGCCCAATCTCAGCCCGACCACCCCTTATTATCAAATTGATGATTGGAACCGCAACCCATGGTCTAAAGCTTACCGGAAAAGCACCGTTGCTCATACTCCGAGGAGCCGCCCGTCAGAACCGATCGTGACGACCGATAAAGAGGCGAGATCCAAAATGGGTTGATCTGCCGACTCACCCGGGAAGAGGAAGCCGCCCATCCAACGAGCCTTTGAACGCCGGCCGCACGGCCCAGAGAAGCCGCCGCCCCGATGGCCCGGAGGCCCCTGCTGGAGGAAGGCAAACTGGATCTGGTGTTTTTAGTTTTTTTCTAGAGAGAGGTAGAGGTAGAGAGAGGCGAGAAAAGTTGCTATCAGCTCGAAATCCTAATAAAAAAAATTTGTTCGGTTATTAATTTTTGACCTTCCTACTATGAAGACATCGAACATATAAGACAAATTTTATTTGTGGATCTGGCCCATACTCGAAGCATTATGGTCTGGCCTAATTAATTGATGAATTAACGCACGAGATAATTACCCTACACACTAACTTAATCATAAAATATTATATATCTACGAACAAAATATTTTATTAGCAAAAGGAGATCAGATAACCTAAATATTTGTACATATACGATTGTTGCACATAAACATTAATTACTTTTCTCTTTTTTTCATTATCTTCTTCTCCCCCTTATTTCTCCCCCTTCTATGACCCTATCTCTCCCCCAGCAAAAGAACATAAATAAAAATCAGATCTAGACGATCTTCGATCCTCTCTCTCCCCCAGCAAAAGAACGGAAAAAAAAAAGAAACCAGATCTAGACCCATGCCCCACTTCTCCTTCTGGCGGCTGCGATTGCCCGGCTAGGCCTTGGTCGCTGCTTCGCCTAGTTATTTCTCACTGCCGGCCCTCGAGCGTGCTGATGGTGGACGAGCCGTCGTCGTTCTCCACCTTCTCCCCGTCACCATTAAACGATTCCCCGTAGCAGAAGTTGGCGTTAGATCCAGATTTCATGAAATCACGGATGTTTGAACATCTTTAGGAGTTGAGTAACAGCCCATCATCTCCTTCTTCAACGAGAGAGGACAGTGCATAAAGAAGGGACATCTCTCTTCGGGGAGAAGAGAGAGAAGCTGAAGGAGTGACTATTAGTGAAGAGAAAGAATTTGTTTCAAATTGATATTGATTCAGAGGTTTCTGCGTTGCTGATGTAATCTCTCGATAGTGGAGACGGCAGACGACGGATGTAGTTTTCTGTTTTTATAAACAGATCTAGTGTTGTTGTGGCCAAACTCGACAACTATGTATATCTTCCGTATATATATACTTTATATGTGTAGTATATTTAAACCTTTTTTTTTGTTTGTGTAGTTGCAGATATATATACTGTATATTTTTCGTATATATACTGTTTATATTTTTTGTATGTATATGAAAATGTGTATGTTATGTATATGTCATGTATATATCCAACATAAACGAAAACTGGGATAAAAAATGGCGACATAAAAATGTTTCTCTCTCCAGGTATGCATCCCGTCAATTACGGGATCGATCTGTTATATAAATAATTTGATTAAGTTAGGTATAAGTGCAATTAAATTTTATATTTAGTATATATGCAAATAAAAACAATTCATTAAAGCAAAAATGTAAATTCCCCTTATTATTATTATTACTATTTAAACGGCACTAATTACATATATTCATAAAACAAACAAGACTAGAGAGCAATCACTCAAATAAACAGCCAAGGGTCAATAAACAGTTAAATCGTTGAATCTAATTGGGAAGACTTACAGAAGACAGCCTAAAACCAACCTAACAACACAAAACATTGAAAACTCTTAGAGAGAGAACAACAAAAAGCTCCCACAAGTAGAGAATATACCACACACACTTCCAATGGGGGTGAAAAATTAAATCACAACCTAAGAAAACAAAAACACAAACGCGAACAAACAAAACTAAACTCAAACAAAAAATTGCCCTTGTCGGCAAAACACCAAGATACGCGCCGACGACACCACACCCGACCACCCTACCGGACCGGACCACGTCCTGAGAAACCGCTCCATAAACTGCCTAATGCCTAACTGTACCCACACCCCAAGAACACAACCCCGAGCCCAGACAGTCA